CGGTGAGATCATGGCCTGAGCCGAAATCAAGACTCGACGCTTAACTGCCTGAGCCACCGAGGCGCGCCTTAAGGGTAGTCCCGGGGATTCTGCAGGAATCAGAGAGGAAAGGAGTTACATGCAGAATGGGAGGAGGAGGGAACCAGCCTGGCTTGCTCAGTACAGGGGAGGGTGAGCGGCCAGGGTTCTTCCGCTCTTCTCAGGAGCACTTCTGGCCATGTCACTTCTCCTTGAGGACACTGCAGTGACTCCCCTCACCTGCAGGCCCTCTAAGTATGACCAAGATCGGCCCCTCCTCCCACTCATCTTCCCATCCGTCCCTCCTTCTGGGACCAGTCACACTGTTACTCACAGTCACTATCCCCACCCTACCTCCTACCCCCGCCCTGAATGAACCCCTTCCCTCTCTCCCCCTTCACCTGGGTAACTCCCTACATGACTTAGTTTCAGGCTCCCACGGTTTGAGTCCCCAACGGTGCCGCCCCCCGCCCCAGCTGGTACAACAACTCCCTGGGAGAAGTCACACCAATCCTTTCTGCACCTCTGCTTGAAAAGGCAGTTGGTTGCACATGTCAGGGCCCCCGGGCTGGTACCCAAACCAATGACAGCACCAGCACTGCCACATCCTTAAGGGAGGGGCGGCCGGAACAGCATCAGGACCGAGCGTCCCTGGAACTTACTGTGACTCCAGCTGGCCAGCGTTCTGGAGGCCACCCTTGACCTGGAGCCCTTTTAACTGGTGGGTCTAGAACTCTGTTTGGGGGATGGCCTCCAACACGATCCCTTTCTCTGCTTCACGTCTGCAGGTTGTCGCGTGACTCAAAGTCAGGACAGGTATCAGGGGATCTGTCCACTTCCTGCCTCATACTCCCGCCTTTTCCCCGCTCTCAGCATAGACTGCCCACCTCGGTGCTCCTGGCTGCCGTCCGGAGTTCAGATTTGTCGGGGAAGGTCTTGGGCTGAAGGTTGGGGAAGGTGGCCCACATCAACTGGCTGGGCCTCTGGCAGACTCAAGGTTCTGAGCCTGGTCTGAGGGATCTGCAGGCCCCGACTCTTGGGCGAGTCTGGTCTGTTTGCCCTCTCTGTGGAGGCTGGGGGGCAGCTGGAATGGTCCTCAGTCATAGACGCACGTACCTTTAGTCCCCCGGAGACCTTAGGAGCCTTCTGGTGCCACCTACAGGTAAGGAAACTGAGGCACAGAGAGAGGAGCAGTTCTGAGGATGTCTGCACAGCTAAGGCTGGCTTCTCTCTTGGGCTCTGTTAGCTAGGGGACATTTGCCACCTCTCCATTCGCGGCGGCGCTGGAGTGCCCCTTTTATTTCACCATGTTGACAGCATGTGTGCCTCTCCTGCTGCAAGAGGCGGGGGGG